CACTCTTTATTTTGTCTGTACTTGTCTTTTTTATGTTGTCCTTGTCACTTGTTTTTATATGTATTTCTTGTCCTGTCCTTTGTCCGCAGTCAATGATATAAAGATGCAATGGGTTCGCCTCCTTCTCCTCATTATTGTACTGATCTTTTCGAACTTTTTCTTTTTCAATAAAGCTTATAAGAATATTTAACCTCAAAACTCGAAAACGAAATCCGAAAATCTAGGATCGCTTTTTTGAAAACGTAAATTTTTAAGGTTTTTGACATGCTCCAAGTATTTTGAGGATATCTCAGTGAGGAAACAGTTTTGGAATTTGGGGACGTGATATTCGTGATTCTCATTCAATTCGCTATCGAATGCTGGATAAACGAGCGAAATCTAAATTTCCGTGCATCTTAATTATAAAATTATTTACTTCCTACAAGTATATATCCTAAACTACAATACTGATCTCTCGAATAGAGAGCGGTCTACTTTTTTTGCTCTGCTTTATTTCTTTTAGCAATGATTCCCGTTATCTTTTATAGATCAAAATGTGACAATTCACTTTCGCCTAATACACGAAAGTGATATTTCACTTTTGTGTTTTAAAATGGCGAAAGTAACGAAAGGAAACAAAAGTCTTTTTCGTTTTCTTTCGCTTTATAACATGTCAAACACTTCATCGACACAGTGTTAAAAATTTTACGCCAGATAATGTTTGAATGTATGGAAATATGTCACAAACGTTGTATAACGAACTAAAACTCATTAAACGTTTTATAAAGTGGAAATGTGTGGCAGCAGTGTACTGCTGCCACCGTATATAATGCTTTATAGTGTACTGAGTGCACTATAAAGCATTATATACTGCAATTTCCACTCTATAAAACGTTTAATGAGTTTTAGTTCGTTATATAGCATTTGTGACATATTTTCACACATTCGAACATTGTCTGATGTAAAAATTTTTAACAGTGCAAAAAGAAAAGAAATATATACTACGGCTTTCGTATTATACGAAAGGACGCGAAACTTTTGCATGCCGTCTCATCTCTAAAGTGCAACAACACATGATGCTAGAAATTATATTGATAATATCAAATGTACGGATGATCATAATACAAGTGATTATGTTGTCTGCATGTATGATATATTAGTTGTGGAATGAACAAAATATACAAGCCTGATTTTTAAAGGTGATTTTTACAAATGGGTTATTGAGTGGGTGTGTCTTGCAAAAATAAAATCTCTTTCCAACAAGTCAGTGCTCACTGTTGTTATATATTTTTTAGTTCAGAACCTGCTCTTTCTTACGGAAGAAAGAGCAAGCGTGACTGCTGCTTCTGGACTGAGATATGAAGCAAGCAAAAAACGGAAAAAACTTTTGTATCACCCGTTACCACTAATAATGTAAGACTTATAAACATATATCTATGAAATATAAAATACTTCTTGACACACAGCAGACCTAGCAGAATTCTGGTTGAAGGGAAAGACGGTGAATAGAAAATCCTGCCCTTCTATTCTGGGAGAGAGTGTAATGTATTTAGGTATGCACCGGTATCGATCCCCATACTAAAATACCAATACCGAAAATACCGAACTCCGGTACCTACCGATACCGAGAATAACGAAAATACCGACTTTTTTTTACTTGGACTTTTTTGGATTGTTCCATTTGAGATAGGATAGTTAAGGTCCAGAGCACCCAGGAAGAACCAGGGATACAAAACAAGAGCTTTGTAACAAATTTGTAAGACAATTTTTTTCTTTTTTTCTGTCTGCACATTTTCAGAATACGCAGCTGAGTGATTTTATGCGTTCTGCCTGTCCGGAACGCTAAAATATCTCATTCGAAATGAAAAAAATCCAAAAAACTCGAAGCAAAGAAAAGTCGGTATTTTCGATTGCTTTCGATGCAATTTCGCTGTAATTCGAACAGAAACCGAAAATAGATTTGTCCAATTTGTGGCTTTAGTATCTGAGTGTTTTAAAGTGATTTTCCCCGAACTTACGGGCTTTTGTAGCTGAAAGTCTCAGCTATTTAATGATCTAAAAATTATGTCAAAATCCCAGTTAGGCTCAAGTTGGAATGAAAATGGCCCTCTTCCTAGTAAATTTCCCTGAGATCCGTCTCCGATGGAGATTTCGCAATAATTTTAGATCCTTAAACAGCAGAGATTTTAAGTTACAAAAGCCCCTAAATTCGGTGAAAAATGCTTCAAAACACTCAGATACTAAGTCACAAATTGGACAAATCTATTTTCGGTTCCAACTCGACACTTGACAACAAAAAAGCAGTTAAACAACACTATAGAAATAGACGTATTTATTGATATTTTCTAAAATCAGGATTATTTTCGAGTAATTCCATTTGTTCCTTGGGCAACCCGAGAATAACGTCGATACTTGGTGAACCTATTTCCTCGATTGAGAACAAAATGACAGCAGCTAGAAACGAGGTACCCTGAGGAAATGTGATTCGTAGAGAATGAACACCACATTCGAAATCTGTCATTGAATACATTCCCATTTTGTTCCATGCCGTTACGGCAAAATCTCCACGATCCAACTCAAATGTTGGCACAATTTTAGCCTTGTCTGGTTGAGCGGCCACCCATGCGAGATACGATTTCAATTCGTCGCTCGTGTTAGACACAATGGCATTGTGAATCTGCTTGCTCAGCTCAGTGAGACAGTTTTTCTGTAGTACTTCTTCAGTATCGAGCTCAAGACACGTGTACATAGCCGCATTTCCGAAAAACGTCGCTGGTAAAGGTGAATTTTGCAGTCTCGGATGGAGATTTGTCGGGATATGAAGTTTTGTTCTTGTTGTTTCGCACTTATCGAGACGGCGAGCGAATGCAACATGGTGCTGCAAATGAGCAGTGAGAACTTCAAACGTTGAAACGAAGAAAGAGTCTGAAAACTGACTGGTGGCAGCATCTTTCATTCGCTCAAGTTCTCTTGCAGAAAATCGAAATATTTTGGAGATGGACGATACAGAATCCGTTATTTCTACAGGTGCAGGTTCTCTAATGCAGTGTGCTTTTTATCTACTGAAATTTGGTCGAAGAGCATCAATTTCTTCCAGTGTTGGTTCCAGAAGTGAGCGTTCGTGACAGACGCTTGGTTGATAGTCGACGTCTTTGTAGAGTCGAGCCCAATCTTGAACAAGTTGAAAATATGAGTGAGAATCAAAGATCAAATGGTGAAGGTGAACGCCAAGTGAGACACTGCCACACGTGAATCTCGTATGTTGAATTTGGAGAATGGGCTCGGAGAATGGGTCTGAATAATTGAACAAATTAATGAGATGGAAAGTGGCGGGAAGAGAATGAGTATTCGTGTATTCGTCGACTGACAAGGGCAAATCGCTTAGAGGAATGTTCGCCTCGGCAGAGACAAACGACACATATCCACCCGCTTCAACTGTGACTGTATTGTCCTCGTTGTGCCATTTAAACACGCCAGCAACGATTGGGTAATAATCAAGTAATTTTGTTAAACTCGTCATTAATCTTTCCACATTCATAAATTTTTGCTTATCGACACCCGACCAATGTTGAATATCGTAAAAGAAGATGCAGCGAATTAAGTGAACGGGTGCAAGAAGCCAGTCATTTGGTGAGAGACGCCATGATGTGGGCTTGATAGAAGGTGGCGAAAATATCTTGTATGTGTTCAGAACTGCTGTTGTAGCCATTATTTTTCAGCTGAGGATGTGATAGTACGTGGTCTTTCAATAAATACGGCAGTATAATGCATCCTTGCATTTCCCGTTGTGAGCAAATAATGACGAAGAGCAAGAAAATGCATGTCATTTTCTTATTGTTTTTATTTCTTTCGGTACTTCTGACACTCTAGCATTTGAAAAGAGATATACATATATCTAAGATACATTTGTATTGATATTTGCCTCGCATTCGTTGCATTCTTTTTCTCTGTAGAAAAGAGGACCGAAAAAAACAGAAAAGCAGGACTATAGCAAATAAGAAGATATCTCTTCTCGCCCAAGATAGAACGTATACAGACATCGCCTCACATTTGGCGTGTTATTTTCGCACGACACATAGTTTTTTTCTGGAAAGATCAATTCAGCATTGTTTTCATTCACCGTTTTATTCTTACATATTAGAATCAAAGCCAAAACAACGCTAAGCTGCAGAATAGAAAAATGTAACATAAAAGAAATACGATAGACGAATTCATGAGTCGTATCCAGGGACATTCATATTTGTCTGTCGTATTTAAGCACATCTTTCGCTAATCAGCATTTTATGGAGAATTTGATTTGAACAGTACTGATGAAGCAAAATAACGGGATATTTGTAGAATTATGAACTACTGGTGCCTAATAAGACAACAAAATAGAAAGAAAAAAAGAAAAGAAACAGGAAATGTGAATCTTGGAAGGAATAAGAAATGAAAGTCGATCAGCAAGTGACGTTAAAGAAAGAAAGAGAAAAGAGACATTTGCCACATATATTATCGAATATAGTGCATGTGAGAGAAGAGATATCTCCTTATTTGCTATAGTCCTAATGTGAAAAATTTCATTCAATCTACCGCGTATAGTACTTACTATATTTCAGAAATACTCTCTAATAGATATCACAGTAATGTCATGAAACTGCCGATTGTTGTGTAAGGTAGAGAATGACTTACGTGATGTGACAATATATTTAAACAATTCTGTAAGGATGACAAAAGTGTTTATTCCCCGTGTGGAAATACGAAAATGAAAATTATCTTCTTGGAGGTGGTAAAAGAAACATTGAAAATTAGGCAGTCGGATTTCCTGAAAAACGATAAATCGAACGATGCATAGTAAGTGTATTTGTGTTAATTTTTCGTGAGAATACACTTACTTTAATCGACCAAACATTTTTTGCAGAAAAGATCTCGAGTAACATTTGATGCAAAAAGTCATTTTCTGCAAATAGTTTTTCAGATTTCGAGAAACGAGAAAGAGATTTCTACAACTTTCCTGAATTAAAATATTTTTCCATCTTTTAGCTATTGTTCTTGAAAATCTACTCGATTTTTAACACAGTAGAAAATAAGTATTTTCAACATTCTTATAAAATTGTTCACGATTTTATAAAATCTCTTAATTCATTTCAAATTTTCAAGATCAATTTTCTATAAATTAGAAAATAAATCGGATTAACAGTGCAGAACTGGGCATTGTTGTCGAATCTATCCGAGGAGGGTGGACAATGCCGCTTCCTAGCCCAAAAAGGCTTCGGATTTTTTGCATTGGAACTATGTCAGGACACGCCTAGGACCATTTCCATACACTTAGTTTCACAAGAGCTCTCCATCGGGTTTCTGAGGCCTGAGATCCCTGCCCTAAAATATAAATGGGATGTAATTGTGCAAATGGTGTAAATCGGATATTATTTGTTGATCAAGATGATTACAAAAATATATTTTTTCTTGGCATGGTAGTAGTTCAACAAATGGATCATTAAAATATTATTTTTTAAATTCATGGTGATAAGTGCAACTTGAATGAATCCATTTTATTAGAAATAAATTCTGAATTTATTCTTGGTTCTGTTTTTACTGTTGATGATGATGAATGGAGAATCCATCGTTCGTCTGTACAGAAAGCTGAACTGCGTATTCCAAGATTAGAAACATCAACCTGTTTTTTTATGACTTACATTGCTGTTACAAAGATTATTGAGGAATCATTGATCTAACTACGACTACGATTCTGCGGATGAATAACATTCCTGGTATTTTTTGCTATTCACTCTATGTCCAATGTGTTCCCACGTTTTGATCGATTTATCATGGCTCATATTCTGCACTGTTCAGAGAAGTAAAATAATATTGACAAAGTATTGTAAAATACCTACATACTATTAACAGTGTCTGTTTATTCGTTCGTTTTGGTCGCTCTATTTTGGCTATAATGATTATTGTATAATGGTAAAATATAGGATATCCTCGCTTTTCTCAGTACAGGTTAATAGATGATTTTGTAAGGTGCCAAAAATTCAAAATTCCAGTGGATTTCATTTTTTCGTTTATTTGTATATGGTTGGATAGAGCTTGATGATCACAAAGTAGAATTAAAAATGATACCGACACACTCCCATTGATTAAACAAAAGTATGAAAAATTCTGAATTTGACGTTTGTACACATATAAATAGATAGATAGATAAAACACATTGACAATGATTCATCGTCAACTGACTTTGAAAGCTCTGTATATGTGTACAGATAAACTATATCATTACTACCATCGAACACTTACAGAGAAATAGACAATATAGAATAATATACCATCATAACATAAAACAGTTTTTCACTGTGATCATACTAAAATCATATTTTCTGAAAATGCAGTTTTCTTAACCCGGGTAGAGAATAAACATTGCCACAGTAATCAGCGTATCCGATAACATATGTATCAGATGTTTTTGAAGTTTTTAGAGCTCAGAGTTGGCTAATAGATTGGTCCTCGTAGATTCCGTGTAATATTCGAACCACGGTCGGTGGAGGTGTGGGCCTTGTGACACATTGTAGAGCGACATCTGCTACCAATGTGCATTTAGTGCAATGATTCTCTATGTGTATTTGTTGAATGACAGGCCGGGACTTTTTGCTTCGAAAAGCACACCATGGTAGACCTGTCAGATAAGACTCATTTTGCCATAGGATTATGCCCCCGATCGTGCTCTTTCATAATCTGAAAATCGCTGCCCTCTAGTTCAATCCGTTCTCGAGTTATTCGAAAAATATCCGAGTACACCGAATTTTTGGACAGACCATAGTCAGGCATGCAATGGTAACGATTATCGGTCCTTACCAATTATCGTCATACTGATCGTCGGTAAGGGCCGATTATTGGTTATTCGATTATCGCTTCTTATCGATTATCGGCCAAATTTTATAAAAGAACTACCGTAAGATTCTCAACATTTCAGTCTATTCACAAACGTAAAAGTGTTCAAGACTTCCACAAAGGAACTTTCCAAAGGACTCGATCAAAGTCAATGACGTATGCTAATACTATTCGAATGAGGAAGGTGCGATGGTGCTAGTTTTGGATGTTGTAGATGTTATGGTGATGAACGGCAATTTAGACTTTTATCCAAAAAAAGTCGGACTACCCGAAGGGGGCAGTGAGAGTGAGTCAACGGCAGTGTATGTTATAGGATACTTAGCACATTCTAAAAGTCTAAAAGTTCTATATCGTTGATCACCACCATACATCTACAACATGCAAAAGTGCTCAACTTGAACTTCTTGCATGGTGACTCACCCTCATACTGCCGCCCCCACCCTCTCCAGCGAGTCCGACTTTTTCGGCAAGAAAGTCTAAAAAGTCTAAATCGCCGTTCGCCACAATAACATCGACAACATCCGAAATTAGCACCATCACACCTTGATGGTGAGTAGACCGAAATCTTGTGAGACTTACGGTAGTTCTTTAATAAAATTTGGATCAAAACTGACTGAGTTATGAAGAATACATTGAACTAGAGTAATATATATACACGTGCATATGCAAGAAGGGGTATCTCTTATTTGCTAATTCTCTGGTATAAGGAAAAAAAGAAAAAAAAAGATGATGAGTTTATCCTTGCTACAAACTCACTTTCTCTATTATGATTTTGCTCAGCAAGCGCTGGAAACGTATCGGTTTTATTGGTAAGAAGCATAAATATGATAACGACAATCGGTAAGATACGATAAAACCGGTAAATTATCGTTACCGTTGCAT